TGCCAGGCAGGTGCTGCTGAGCTGTATCCCTGGCCCTAGAATGTGCTCTTAGGAGGCAGGATGCCTTCAGAAGGGCCAAGTTTCAGGATGAATGTGACCTGGAAGGGGGTGTGTGTCTCTCTCCCTCTCTCCTTGCTCTGTGCTATGCTCCTGGGATCCATGAGACAGGCAGCTTTCCTCCTCTTGACCTCTCAGCCATGCCGATTCTGCCTGGGAGCCTGCCAGCTATGGACTGTGGTCTTCAGACAAAAAGTCTCTCCCCTTTACATTTCAGTGTCAGATATTGTGTCCTAGTGATGAAGAAAGTGACCAAGACAAAAACCACCCAGGTGTCTATATTCATTGAACTCAGTACAGAACTTTACACTCTTAATAGTCATGACTTAGTAAATTATACTCTAATTCAGGTTCTTGAATTTGTGATGGTTCATAATTATTTCAGAAATTATAATAATTTCATAATTTCACTCATTTAGATAACCTTTTATTTGTTGGAATAACTCTGATATAGTCTTTAATAATACTATTCATATAAACCAAGCGTGGTAGCACATGCCTGTAATCTCAGCATTTGGGAGGCTGAGGCAGAAGGATTGCTGTAAGTTTGAGGCCATCCTGGGCTACATAATGAGATCAAAGCCGATTTGAATTACATATCAAGGCCCTAGTTCAAAAAATACTATTCCTATAATAACAATAATTTATATAACAATGTGTAGTATATTTCTTTTTTTTGTTTAAAATACTAATACTTTTTTTCATTAAACCTTTACTCTCACTAGGGTTGTGAGTTACTTTTCTCATTGCTGAGACAAAATACCCAACATTCAAAGGAGGAAAGGTTCATTTGTAGAGGTTTCACTGCATAATTGGTTGGCTCCAAGGAAGAGTGGCACACGGCAGAGGGGTATCGCAGAGAAACAGTTCATTCCATGCAGAAGGCAGCAAATCAGTGAGTAGTGAGGAAGCAGCAAGGGATGGCAGCAGCCTTCTTTCTGTTGCTTACATCCTATCCAGATCCAGACTACACACCCGTAGATCAAGT